ACCTTGTTGTCTCGGATTCTCCAGCATCTGCAGTTCCTACTATCTCTTATCATCATTAACCACTTCTTTTATAAAATGCTGCTGATTCACAGTATGACTGGGAAAAAGGAAGCCTTAAACCTAGTCCCACATTCAACATAGATTATACTTCAATATGTCTTCATTTGACTGGAGATTATTAGGATGCCCTAAGATCACAGAAGCTGTTACATAAATGCAAGTCAACACTCTTCACAATCTTTCCTTAAGTCCCTTATTCTCTGCCCCATGGTTTCCTCTCATGGATAGCAGAGAAAACTTCCAAAATAGTTTTGAATGGACAGAGAGTAGAGTTTGACTACTGTGGTAGTTGTTGAAATAGATAATTACTTGAAGGCTGGCCTAATTTGTTTTCTACCAGGCTCCCGTCCACCAGGATATAGAAAAGCTACATGCTGCTGTATTCTGGCTATGCGGTTAATGCCTCTGTGGATTGGGAAAAGTTAATCAATGTATCTTATGAGCAATGCATTGGAAGCAATGGATGAGCTCCTACTGCTTGGAATCGGTGGACTGGTCCATATTCAAGAATTCAGTGGCCAAACTAAATGAGTGTGCCACTTCCATCACTGATTTCATCAGTAACTGTTTAGATGACTGCATACCAAAGAAGTTAATCTGAGTTTTCCCCAACCAGAAGCAATGGATGAACCAGAAGATCCACTCCCTGCTGACATACAGGTCTGAGGCATTCCTGACCCAGACAGGAAGCCCAGGGATGGCCTTCGCAAAGCCATCAGGGATGCCAAGAGACAATGCCAGCCTAAACCAGAGTCTCACAGAACACACTTTAGACCATGGCAAAGCTTACATGATAAAACAGGCTACAAAGCAAAGTCGAGTAGAATCGCTGACAACAATGTGTCCCCTCCCAATCAGCTCAATGCTTTCTATGCTCGCTTTGAACAGAAGGTCAGTGAAACGGTGTCACCTGCCCCAGCAGCGTTGGGTGTACCAAAGTACACTGTTTGAGTGGCCACAGTCACTGCCATAGATGTCAGATCAACCTTCTGGAGGATGAATGCATGGAAAGCAACTGACCTGGATGAGACATCTTTAGCCTCTCCTTACTATGATGTGAGTTTCCCACCTGCTTCAAGAAGACCACTATCACCCCAGTGCCAAAGAAACATCAGGCAACATACCTGAATGACTGCCACCTAGTGGCTCTGACATCCATCATTATGAAGTGCTTCAACAGGTTAATAATTGCACATATCAACTCCAGCTTCCCCATTGTGTTGATCCACTACAATTC